TGAAGAAAAAGCCATGAGGAACGGCCCTGAACCCTGGGAATAGAACCCCTTCCCGTTGATTTATGCATTAATGCGACTCTCATCGGTGCTACTCTCTTCAACACTAACCCTTTCTCTGCTGAACGCTCAGGGAGCTACACAGCAAGAGGGAGGCGTACCGCGCCGATAGCGCCGCGGGAAGGCCATGCTAAGTTGCCGGGGGCATATCCTTCGCTGCGAACTGCGTGTCGGTCCGCACCTTTGGAGATCAGCCTGTCTTCCTACTAGGTAAGTTTACCCTTCTTCGACCTTCAACCTTATGGTGCAATCCTTCTTTGAACGATAAAAAAGCTCATATTGGAGTAAAAAATCGCTGACCAACTCTTGTCTAAACCATCTGTAGACAGACCATCTCCTTTTTAGCCCGCCAGGTGTTACACCATTTTAGAGTAAACTCAACCACTTGAGACTTCGTCCTGTTCTGCTTCTGTTACACACAAAGGTTGCGAACGATCTCAATGCTGTTGCCCCCCCCCCCACCTGAGAATAATTTATTCCTGGGCGACGTATCCTTTTTTTCGGAATTCCTTCGAATCCCAAACAGAAACATGCTCGCTATTTTCGGTACACGCTGATATAGGTTCAATAGGGTCGCAATGAGGAGACAGGACGATGTCGAGAAGCCCTGTAAGAGCCGGCAATGATCAGCCATGTTGTTGTCATCCCATCAATAGATGACCGAGGCGTGAGTGTGAGCGGAGAGAGAAGAAGAAGGGAAGGACATGTAATTCAAAGGCGCATTGCGTCTACAAGTCCATCATGGGAGTGAGTTACTTACCCAGTGCGCAGAACCTTGATCGTTATCACCTCCTTCAATACCAGTAGTAGGAGTTAGTTCAAGGCCACACCCCGCATTTGGAAGATTTTAAGTTCACGTACAGAGGATGGTGTACTGTAATCCACGCTGCAAGGGCGTTCTCGCAAACGTTCATTAAGAAAACGGCATGTGCTAGGCAAACACAAACTTGATGATGTGAAGCCTGCCCGACAAGGTAGAATTGTCCGCAACAATACAGCATGTGCCAAATTCTTCGCACGAACTTGCCAGCCCAGAGACGACAAGGCTTATGTCAGACTTTGCGAATCCATTGGTTCAGTGCTTCGTGAAATACGCGCGGAAGAATTTGAAGAATGCGAAGGGCGAATGCGAAAGAATGAAGAATATTCGCCAGCGAAATTGGGTAATGATTCGCTGGCGCGTCGCTCGTTTCCCTCAAATCACAAGGAATCCACAGATTTGTAGTCTGATACCAGCCTAAGGTCAACAGATAT